CTGCACGTGTGACCAGAATGTCGTTTTTGATAAGTAAAAATGAAAATCGTGTGTCAAGGGTGATTCAGTAGTTTTGATTTTTAATTCAGTTATCACTTTATTTTTATATTTTTTTTTGTTATATTTTTAGTCAGTTTTAACCTTGCCTATATATTTTAGTTATTATATTATATTTATTAAGGTTTTTAGATTTAGATTCATTTTTGTAGTCTAATTCTTTTACACATTCAGTAATTGTTATGCTTCATATATACGAGTAGCTAGCAGCCGGCAGCATCTGCACTAGCAGACGTCTCGCCACCTTTCGGCAGTAGACGTTGACCCACGGCGACGACCGTCGTCGACGAGCCGTCAGCCGTGAACGGGTCGATGGCAGCCGTCACCACGTCGAAGACTGGTTAACAGCTGCCGTCGACGGGTTGACGGCTAACGACTCATCGGCGGCGTCTGACGGTAGAAGTCGACGACTGCTACCGAAAGGTGGGGACAACTGCAGTTGCGATGCCGTCGGCGTCGAGCCGCTCGTATATATCAAGTCTTATAAACCAGGAGCTGGTGACAGATGACGTTCCACGATGTTGTCGTGCATGCCTTTTTAAGGCTTGATAACTAACCCTAAAATATCAATGATAGTCGGGGCTTTAGCGCCCCCGCGCGTCCTCTTCATAAGGAAAAGTGTGTAAAATTTGTTTTATTTAATGAGTGGTGTGCATGAAAACCTAAGAAACAAATATATATGTATGAATTTCAAAAAAAGAACATTGTCATTCACGCGCGTTTCACTACCACAGCGTCGCAAAAAAAATTACAGGTTATTCGAATTCCCGACATTTTCCTTCGAAATTAGTTTTACAAAAATGTATTACTTTGTTGTTTTGGTAATAAAGAAAAGGGATTCAAGCTTGATAAACACACCACTAGATATTTTTAATGCAGAAAAGGACATTTCCAACTAATTACTACCGGAAAAATCAAGAAAATATTACGAAATTGCCCAAAATTACATGTATTGGAAAGTATCAAAGGGTATACACACATATATTTAAAGATGATTAATATCATGGGTTTAGATAAAGTCTTCTATGTATCTGTTTATAATTAGGTATTAAAACGAACGAATGTGTGTTATCATGCGAGGCGAAGCCGAATTACAACAATTGCATAAATAACTATCATGTTTTAGTAACAAGAACTTTGTCAAAAATCGATACTATAATATACTATAAGACACGATTTTTACACAGAATCGACACCCTGTTTGAAATAACTTAAAGCAGGAACACATGGCAAAGCTTCAAAGCCCAAAAACGCTATGTAAAAGTTTTTTCAACACGTTTGCTCAAAAAATGCATTTACGGAGGTTGTATACATTGTTCGAAAGTTCAAAATTACGCGCCATTTAACGGAGCGTGCGGTAAAACATTTTACCACATGGTCCCTGTCTAACTTTAATACTAAAAAGAAAAACAGACGAAAGATATATATAGTTCTAATTTTTAGAATCAATCGGGAATGCGCGCGATTTTCTTTTTAGAAAAAGTTAGCTTGAAACTGAAATGCGATACGAGTATATCCAGGTACTATTCTTTCGCAAATGAAGACGTTGTATGACATTCGTGCGAAATTGGTATTTACAAACTCGTGACTATGGTAAGTTATACATATTAAATTCGTCTACTTACAATAACCAATTTACCGCACTAATATCATGAAAAACGATTACTCATTAAAGTCCCGCTGAAGTTAATGAAACTTATAGGTATAACATATCAGCCGTGGTTTTAGTTTTTAGACATTTTTTTTGTTATATAGTCAATGTGTTGCCATTTTTTGGCAACATAGCTTTATAGTAAAAAACAGTTTTGTATGTCGATTGGGACTGATCTGTCTGAACGGAGAAAGTATATAACCCTCAGAACCATTTAATGGCGAATATCACATACTTGTTACTATTAAAGGCTTAATGTGGCATTTTCGCCCTTAAAACTTTCATTATCATAATACACTTCCAGACACATCTATCGGCCCGCCTAGTATTTTGGGCTTAGACGGTCTAGGGACCGTCTAAAATAAATGTTACATTGTGCAAAAAGTTATTACCTACCCAGTTTTGAACGTGATTTATTAACCATCTTTTCGTGTATGTTTTTAAATTAGTGCTCAATCTTAGACATATATTTTTGATACAGACACTAAGTGGGCGGATAGATGTGTCCGCAAGTAGAGTTTTCGAAAAAATGGATTATCGACCTTTCAAAGATATATTAACGATATGTTAATTAAAAAGTTGTTACAAATTGAATTATTTTGTTAAAGATAAATAAATAAAAGTGCTACTCAAGAAATAATCCAAAAGATCCACGAAAGGTGGCGTCCTGATTAGATGTTTTTTTTTTTGCAGAAAGCAACAAAGGCAACAAAGTAGAACTATTATTACTATTAAAGTAACAAATCTATCTTTACTGTTATAGTTTTCCTTAAAAGTTGTTTTTCAAGCTAATAGTTTAGCTTTTCAACGCCCCCTAGGACGCCCTAGTCGTACGAAATTGAGCACTTTAAAGGAAAAAAATTCGCAAACGGATCCCTGAGTCGAAAAATAGTCTTAGAAACCCCTTAGTATTTTAAAGGATCCATTGCACGATAACCCACACGATGGAGTAGATGATGAAAAAAAAATATCCCCAGGTTACATGTAGGGAAGCTACTCTAAATCTTGAAATCATCGAAATCGGGGACAGACAGAGGGACATGACGAAACTATAAGGGTTCCTTGTCTGAACTACGAAATCATAAAAAATAGTAATTACGGCAATATAATAAAACCTATTATTTGGACACAAACATGTAACTAGTTATGGTAATCAGAAGAGATCCTTTTCAACATTGACCTGAGCGAAATAGAACAGAATGCCTAATTCAGATGTAGCGAATGAGAACTTGTTTCTGTTATTATTCATTTATTCACAACATAGTAGTGATCCAATCATAAATAGGCATTACCATTGTAAGGGCATTGGGATAGGTTCAGCGAAAATTGTAAGCGTATTTCCGAGACTTGAGATCGTCAACTTTTTTAATATCACTATGCTAGGGCAAAGGTTTTTACTATGGATAAAATCATCAATAGAATGGTTTATATTTATTTTTGAACAAAAATCTCCTTTAGACCCTTTGATAACTTTTTGGTATTAAGAAAAAATGACTAAACTTGCGTGGTCTATCACATTGAGATTCGTTATACATATAACGTTTTATATTCATGATCATCATCATCATCAGCGTATTAATGTCCCCACTGCTGGGGCACTGGCCTTCCCTACGAATGGAATAGGGAATTTTGGTCATGACCCACCACGCGGGCCCAGTATGGACTAGTGGGTGCTAACGACTGCAGATGCAGCCGGGAAAAACGGTTAAACGGACCGCACTACGTCGCCGCGCATGGATCCCTAAGTACCCGCAAGTTTTTCGAACATAAAACTGTAAGATTTCCACCTTCGAGAGACTGCCTGGTGCCATCTCGTGCCAGCAGAGACTGTCGCGTACCCAGCTGCAAGCCTTGAGCGCGTAAGGCGCTGCTCGGCCAGAATTGTGCTACGCAGCATGGCTGAACAGCCAACCCAGCCCAACACCGCAGTACCTAACTACGATTACTTTATCGCAGTCGAACGCGCTAACCACTTGCGCCATCGAGCGTAAGAATTTTATTACATTTTATAAAATGGATATGTTTTCTAAGATGCTGATATTAATAATATTATTTCATGTATGTATGCACAATACTGATAAAAAAAACTATATTTTATAAGTTTTTATTACTCACGTGCAGTTCCACGACTGACAGGTTTTTTTATTCAATGCTCATTAAATTACCCAACCTGTTTTTAAGTTTAAATGGAATATAGTAGCAAGGTTGTAAAAGAAAAGCGGCACTTTCTTCTTTCCAGCTCACAAAAAAACACAACACCATCAAAATTTTGTGTTATTTCACTACGCTATGGATGAGGACTGTTTTTCAAAAGGGCGGTCCGAATATGCTTTGCCCTTCTCGTAAAAAACTTGCGTGATACTGAACCTTGGATGTCATCGAATAGAATACAATTTATAGGAATAATGTTTGTTCAATCAATTGGATATTAGAAAATAGTACTGATATTTGCTCTATTATTTTAGTTTAAAACTGTTTGCAGTGATATTTTTAGGCTTTATTTTATTTTAATAGAATTCTTATATGTAGTGCGTGGGTATTTATTGGATATTCTACCTATTTTATGAAGCGTATGTTTTTCAATCGTCTTCAAAAATTTTTTCATATTTTTTTTCATTGTTGTTCGTGCATATCCCCGTGATGTGTTAACCGATTTTAATGATGATTTTTTGTTTGAATCATTTTTTTTGTAAGATACTCCTATTTAATTTGTTGAAGATTTGATGAGTGTTTTCGGAGTAAGCAATGGAACTCCTCAATTACAAACAGTACTCAATTCGTGATTGGTTATTTTAAGGCATGTAAAAGTGATAATTCAGGTCAGATAACCTACACTTAGTGTTACTCTGGCTTATAAAAATTGGAGGATAAAATTTTTACAAAAACAAAAACAGACTTTATTATAACAAAACCACTAGTAAGGTAAGAAATACTTTAGTTGTTGTTTTTTATGAAGTTCGTTCTTTGCTTTTTCTTAATAAATAAACATCTACCAAACAATTTTGTTGAGTTTATCACTTATCCGAATTGCAAATTTATGTTGATGAAGTCATAAAGAATTTGCATACCTATGTTTGTTCCAATATAAATGCTTTTAAATTGTACACGTTTTTGCATTTTGAAGTTGATTGACTTATTATTATCATAAACTAAAATTTGTGAAATTGAAAGCTTGATAGTCGCTTAATTTAAAACAACAATAATAGTTTACAAAATGTTCTATTTCAACCTTTTAAGTCTGAAATCGATAGCTGTCTTAAATTTGTCGCGTATAAAAAAAACATCTACAAACCTTTTCACGGCAGACGTAATCGTTGATAAAACTATACACTCGCGTACATTATCAGTGGTGGCGTAAAAAAACTAAAGACCGGTGCATTTATCGAGACAATTGGGACCGGACTGACTGACAGTAACCCTGCGCAATGGCAATCGAGCTGTGACAAATCACGTCGAATTATCGGCTCGCTTTAACCTTACATTCGATGGGCTAAGTTGAAAATCGAATAGAGAAGCCGATGAACACAGAGCGCTTCATCCGGCGAAGGTCATTTCCACAGACAGATCCAACTAGATTACACAAGTGTATGGATTTCGCGTGCCAAAAACATACAATACAATGTACAATTCTTGATTAAAAATACTACAGTACAGTACATAAATGGGGTAAATACATTAAATAAAAATAATAATAAGAATAAATAAATATTTCCAACACTACAAACCATTCGGCCACGGAGGTCGTCAAATATGGTGGTAAAATATGTATGTAGATGGTGTGCCAAAAACATACAATACGATACACAATTATTTATTGAAAACAGCTCAGTACAGTACATAAATGGAGTAAATACATTATGTGTAAACATCGTGCTGTAATGGGCGGTCTTATCGCTAAAAGCGATTTATTCCAGACAACCTTTGGATGGAGAGGATTGGAAAGAACTGGAGTCGGCGGTGTTAAACATACCAAATGGGAAGGAGACCTCTTTCTTTCTCGCAATTTTGTTTCTTATATGTTTTTGCGCAAACCGCTCAATAAATGTGTTTGGAATGTGATGCGAAACATAGAGATATTATCTGTACGTTTCGTATCCTATAAAGGATGCGGTGTTAAGAGTATTTAGTTATAGAATCTAACTAGTGGTCCGCCCTTGCTTAACTTCGGTGTAGACTATAGTTTTTGTTTTAATGCTTGTATTATACATATTAATACTTTATAAACCTTCCGTGAAAAAATGTCCAACTAATAGTGAACATTTTGTATTATCGAGTTTTTGGATTTGGAACGCTCATTCGAATGCCTTTGCGTTCTGAAATTGTGCGTAATATGAGTATTTGACAAAGCTAAAGGGAAATTCATTATTAAGAGAAAAAATAATAACCCGTGACAAATAACCCACTCGACCCGTAGTACCAAATGCACCTTTGCTTTGCTGTTGAAAAAAGTTTGTCCCCGATCACCAACCGTTTAATATCCCCACAGGCCTTCCCTATGGATGGAATAGGGAGGATTATGGGTAGTCATGCTCTCCTAAAAATCCCTTCGGCGGTGTCGGGTCGTTGCGTTCCCTAAAATATGGTTGAGCGAAGCGATGGCTAGTTCATGCGTCATGCTCGTGAACGGGTGCTGCCAGCGGAGATGAGTCTGCTCTTGCTTCATTAGGTACTATTAATCATTGTACTAAGCTTTAATCGTTCATTTTTTTTGCCTTAACAGCAGGACACGGCATTCCTAAACATTCCTAAACTTTGTTAAACCAGTTATATATATATATATATATATATATATATATATAAAAATAAATAAATATATACATATTTTTATTTTATAGTCATAATTTTTATATTATTTGCATTTGTAATGGAAAGTGACTTTATGAGTTACCTCATATTGAAGTCATTTTTCAATCTCGACTCTGTACATAATACAGGGAGAAAAAAATAGCCCTTGCTGAGTTTCTTTGATTCTTCTCAGTACAAGGTCTCCCGCCATAGATTTGCGAAGCGATGGCGTAGCTTTTCGACATTTACAAGTGCTTATAATAGCCTAGACTGAATAAACGATATTGAATTTTGAATTTTTTGAAGGTTGGGCTCTGACCCACCACGAAGGCCCAGTGTGGATTGGTGGGTGCTAATGACTGCAGATGTAGCTGGTACCAACGACTTAACGTGCCTTCCAAATCAAGAAGGTGGTCGAGATGATAAGTTTTGGTCACCCATCTAATGATCGACCATTGGTAAAATTGGTGTGTGATGTGAACGAAGTGATTTATTTGGATAATGATTAATACTCATGTAAGGCGCGGCGTTTACTATTGCATATTTTAACATGTAAAAGAAGTTATCGTGAAATAACTGTATTAGTTAGACATGTCGTGGACATTTGTGTTGATATTGTTGTTTCCTATAAATATGTAGTACATGACTGTGCTCTATTGTCTTAATTTCCGCAGCGTACGCAATATAAGGTTCTTTTTCACAAGTTGGGTTACATTATCGAAGTTTTCATACGGATGTACAGTATTTCAAGTTAGAATACACAATTTAAAATTTTGATATCAATATTTATTCGAAATTTAGAATAGTGTTTTGAATTTCAGTCTTGATTGAAACATAACATATTTGATTGATGATGCAATTGTTTTTGATGAAAAGCATTTTGTTCGTAAATCATCTGCAGTTCCTATATGAATCCGCGCGAATCCACATCGGATCCACGCGTGAATTTTTTACAGAATAACACTGCTGAATCTTGATTAGCAAATAATTAGACAAAAAGTTGCATTTAGGTAATTTAAATTATAAAGATTTACATTTTGATATTGAGCTACAAATTTATTTAGTGGAAAAGGGAATATGTTGCATGTAAATTAAACCTTTAATAATTTAAATTTGTAATTATAATAAACATGATGTGAAGCTACACCAACGCAGGGGTAAGCGCCTATGTAGATACGTTAATCTAATGATACTGCTAATAAATACATAGAATGGGTACCGTCTAATGACGATCGCATCACAATACATATACGAAAATTTATTACTTGCAAGAAAAAATATTAATTTGTTTCTTAAAAACAGTGATGTTCACACACTTAATACAAATAACAAAAATAAACTAACTTTACCTGCTACTAGGCTTCACAAAATTAATAATTCATTTAAAGGTCTTTGTGTTCGCTTATACAATAAAGTCCTAAGCAATATCCAAGAGTTAACCATAAATAAATTTAAAGATAGTATAAAAAAACACACATTAAAAAAGCTTATTAAAAAGTGTCTGATTATATTACAGACAAAAATGCTTGGGTTTGAACTGTTCCAATCATACCAACAGGTTTTCTATATTAAATAAATCATAATTGTATTAACGCTGTAACAACATAAAGATTTGTAAATGTTGTTACATTAGACTTTTAATGTTTAAGTTTTTCTCCGCAGCTAAAAAATATGTCTATAACGAGTGGTAAAGAAAAAAAATTTTGGACAATTCAAAAGAGTTGTACATCCAATTTGAATAAAGATATATAGATTTCTGATTTCTGATACGGACCAATTACCTATTTTTTCCTCATTGTGTCCTCTGCAAGTAGCAGAAATACCCCAAGTTTTGTTGAAAGGAAATTGAAATAATAAGAAAGATAATTCACAGTTTGCGTTGATTCTAAGTTGTTGCGAAAAACTAGAGAAATAAGTGAAATATATGCAGTGAAGCGTGACTCCAAATATTTTAACATTCTCAGTTTGTTAACATGGCAGCGACTCCAAATTTTGTTAACTTTTTATTAAATTTGTATGTAGATTAGCGTAAAGTAATTAGATTCACTTTTTTTTCTAAATGACTTCGCATGGCTTGGGCATTTAGCCAATATCAAGTGTTAAAATGTTTACAAATAAACTATAGCACTCGTGGTCAAAGTAATAAATCAAGTCAAAGTAAGTGACAGTCATGTCAATCCCCCTTTCCCTATGTTTCAGTAAAAGTGTGTAGATTTACTGGAACCTCCCCGTGGACTTCTTGAGGGAACGTCGAAAGACACTTTCCGATATTTTGTTTCACTTGCCAACACTTGTGCATGTTCCCGAACTAAGTGGTCTAATGGTGGATTATTAACTAGTGGTTAATAATCCACCATTATTAGACACATTATTTTTAACAAGAAAAACAAAACTGCTAAAGTGTCGCTTCCCGATCCCGCCAAATATTCCAAGAGAATCACTTATTCTAAAGTATAAGTGGTTTTGTTTTTAAGAAGTGCCATTATATTTTCTTAAAAAAAAAGGTTTTATTTGTGACATTTTAAAAGTCTATGCACCTGGTTATAACGATAAAGTTCTTTTGTACTAAGCGTCAAAACCAAAAACAATATGTGTGTTGTTTTTCTTCAAGAGTTGCGTTGTATGTGTTTGAAAGTAAGTACGTATAGAAACTTTACGAAATTTAATATTTCGGAAAAAATGGGAGCAAGTCAAAAATTTTATATACAAAATTGACGAAGATATGCGCGAATATTAATTAAATAATAATAATCATCATTTATTCAGTTTAGGCGGTTACAAGCACTCATGAAAGTCTAGAATCTACGCGATCGGTTCGTAAATCTACGGCGGGAGACCTTGTACTGAGAAGAACCGGCAAGAAACTGAGCGAGGGCTGTTTCTTTCTCCCTGTTAAAAAAAATACTTCAGAGATTCACGAAGTCACCTTTCATTACATAATGTGACATTATACGAGAACATTAATTGTTTACCTGCATTTTGATTGCTATGTCATTCAGTATACATACAAAAAGTGTTATTTATATTAGGTGTTACTAGACATTTACATCTTAAATATCAAAGTAGTTAGGGCAGACTCATCTCCGCTGGCAGCACCGGTTCACGAGCATGACGCAAGAACCAGCCATGGCTTCGATCAACCATATTTGAGGAAACAAAACGACCCGCCTCACACGACACCAAAAAGAGACTTTTAAGAGCATGACTTTAACCACCCATCTGTAGGACACTGCAAACAATTACAAAATGAAGTTGAATTTAATACCTTATTTATTCAGAAGTTAATTAAAAACAGTGAAAGCATTGTAAGTACTAATGGCCTTTGAAAGTAAGTACCTAACTTTAAGATTAAGTTACAAGAATTTTCAATCACATTTAATAAAAAACGGTGAATGTGATTGTTTTAATTTATGTCCAGAGGGCCTGACTTTTATGCTAAGTAGGTAATTATGAAATTTTACTATGAAAAGTAAGTCTTCCCTAAGTCAAAACTTGTACTTGTGCTTAGCAACTAAGTATCAACGGACTCAAACAGTCTTGAATCTAGGTAGTTCAAGAAGACTTAAACCACAAAATAGACAGTACAGAAGGTAATCTACAAAGTGCGCTAGAGCAACGCACACCTAGTCACCCGATATCTCGGATCTCATCGGGACCACTGCAAACGCGTGTTCCATCAATAGATTACTTACAGAAAGTAATGTATT